GGGAAAGAGGAGAAAACCTTGTACAGAAAGGACCTGTAAACTTCTGCCTCTTAACTGAGTAGGATGTATGATAAGGAAGGTTGCAGTTCACTTGGGTATATATTAATTCAAAATTCAGCCTGTTTTCCCTAGGCTTTCTCAACAACACACCTGAGATATGGGTCTTGGAAAGATAAGCTTTAAGTAGTTCAGAATCCCTAGTCCATTTTAGTCCTTTACCTTTCTCCTGAAAATACTAGTCTGAGGGCCACTTGCTATGCCAATTTGGGGATATTTGTTGGGAAGTAGCTGATTTATCTGAATGTCACTGGGATGGCTTCTTGATTTTGTATAAATTGTTACATGATGTGGCGGGGCACTGTTGGTGCCTGCCACTTTAAGGGCTGAGCTAAGCAGCCAGCAGGTGATTGACTGCGGCAGCCATATTAGCTCTCTGGCTGCCTATATAACAGAGCAGTTCACTGCTGGCAGGCCAGACAGAGACATCGCCTGGCTGCAGGCTGAATATTACATTCTGGAGGGAAGGGCAGGAGCTTAAGGGGATGGTTTGGAGGCTCCTGGTCCTGAACATGACCTAAAACTGCACCCTGCCAGGGGAGTGGGTAGCCTGGTGTGGCTCCCAGTGGCACGGGAATCCCCAGGAAATACCAGGCCAGTTACTACCCTGGTGAAAGGTGGTTCGGGGTGCCTTAATAACCCCAGCTCCCACAACCGGGTGGGTTAACCCTGTACTAGGGCCAAGAAGGGGGACCCAGTTTAGAGAGTGGGATATAGATTCAAAAGCCTGACTTAGAATACCCTCGACTGCACAGTGCTGGGGCCAGGACCAGAATGGTCAACAGTTCCAGAGGCCCACCATGAGGGATGCCCAGAGCTGAGGGCTTGGGGTTTCTGGCTGACTTTGGAGGTTAGGCCATGGCCTGGGTGGCCAAAGGTCCTGGGGTGGGGAGCACACCTGAGATGGGGAACAGTTCAGGGAGCTAGGCAGCCCCAAATGAGGGTGGAGTAGGCTGCCTGATTGGAGGGATCCAGTTGGGGTCTGATTGGAAGGATTCTGAGGCCCAGTGTGGGGCTTGTGATGTTAAGACCTGTGGATGCCATCTGTGAGGCTTGGGCTGCGGTGTAGGGGAGGAACAGAGCCACAGATAGCGCCCCATGGCATTGGGGCAAGAAATGGGCAGCCTCCCACCTAATTAACAACATAATTATATATCATCAAGGCATGGCAGGAGAGGAGGTGGGTGGCTGGCCCAGAAACAGGTGGGTGGGCCAATGGTAGATCAGCCCTGAGGAAGCCCCCTGTTACACATGGCTATAAGATTCACATACTTGTATAACCCTAGGCTGTATTTGAGCCTGTTACCTACAGGTGAGTGCCTTCATTGTTCTTAACAGACTGGAATACTTGTTTTGTCTTCTGTGTAGCTTATCAGTTGTGTGTGGAGTTCAGACCAGGTAATTTTGGGCACTGATGTTACAGGCTGTATGGATGTTGTAGGGAAGAAGAGGTTGTAGCGTCCGGTGGCAGCCAAGTAGAGAGATACTGTGACTTTGAAAGGCAGGGTAAAAACAGGAAGGTCCCATTTACTGAAGATTGAACCTAACGCACTGGAAAGAACTGGGCTAAAAAGAGAAGAAGAAAAAGCAAAGGTTATTGTTTAGTCACCACAATTGGAGGTGTGAGAAACCTCCCACCATTTTAGTCTGAAATCATGGAATTACAAGTTGAAATACTGCTTGGTTCAACTGGTTAATAATTTTTTAAAGGTCTTGATACTAGGCATTAGACTTGTTCCAAGGCATAGTGAACCAATTGAAAGTGAATATAGACAAGACAGAGGTGATGGTAGTGGGGGCAGACCACTTGTCTGGTGGAGGGGGGCCAGGACTGGGACACCTATCACTGAGGTTCAGTCTCACTTTGTTACTCCAGTTCACAGCTTTGGGGTGCTCCTAGATTCTCTGCTGCACCTGGATCTTCAGGTGACAGCTGTGGCTAAGAGTGCCTCTCACATAACTCCAGCTGGTGAGAAGACTCTGGCCCTTTCTTTCAGACTCTGATCTCACTACCATCACCCATGCCTTCATAACCTTGAGGTTAAACCAATGCACTCTGCATAGGACTGCTCTTGAAAACCATTCAGAAGCTACAGCTGGTGGAGAATGTGGCAACCTGCCTTCTGACCAGAGGTGGGTCATCGGGAGCATGGGTCATTGGGAGCATGTAACTCCAGTCCTCCAGTGTCTGCACCGGCTCCCAGTAGCCGTCTGGGCAAAAATCAAGGTGCTGGTTTTGACCTATAAGGTCGTAAATGGCTTGGGCCCTATTTTACCTTATTTGCCATTGTGATCCTTAGGGTCAGCTGAGATCAACCTCCTGCAAGTATCATCAGTACACCTAATTCACACCATGAAAACACAGGAGAGGTCATTCTCAGCAGTTGCTCCTCATCTTGGACACTCCCTCCCTCTTGCTGACTTCTGGAGCCTGAGCCTGGGCATCCTTCAGGAGCGCTGCAAGGTCTTTCTCTTTGGTCAGGCACTTAGCCACCGAAGCGAGATCGACACATTGATTAGTGGGTCTCTGTTTTATTTGATTTATTCTAGTTGCCCTTTTAAGTTGTTTTGTTTCTCTTATTGTAAGACCCCCCATGCCTTCACTATTTATTCACATAAATACAATAAAATTAGGGCTGTCAATGGATCGCCATTAACATTTGTGATTAACGTTTTAATTGGTTCTTGAGTTCAATTTTTTAATGCAGTAATCGTGCACATGGTTTTGGAGCCGTATTATAAAATGTGCGATATTGTAAAATATATAAATAATGTCAAAACTACTAATCATAAAAGTTACTTTTAGAGGTTCCATGTAATGAATCTCTCATACAAGATTCACCCAGAGAGGATAAGCAGTCACACAATGCTGCTTAGTACTTTCTGGTGGCCTTCTTCTGGGGTGTAAATGGGTGTGGAAGTAGTTTAGTTTGTCAGTTTGCCTATTTCTTCAGTTTTTTGAAGGATGTGATGCTCTGTGAGCTCTTGCTCTGGAAACAAGTAAGGCTGGCATGGAGGCAAGGGGTGGGGGGAGATTTTACCGGTTATCTCCATTTTCTATTGATTATCTCTGTTATCTCCACTCTGCCAGCCCACCTTTGGAAAGTCTCTGGAATGCTAGGACCGTGACAGCCTCATCCATCTCAATGAGAGCTGGCGTTGTTCAGCACCGAGTCGAATCAGGCTGTCTGAAGTTTTAAAGAAATATTTGAAATCCAAGCTTCTGTCTTACACGGAAAAAAGTTAGGCTTACTCTTGGCACATGA